GAAAATTACAATCCTTAATTATCTTATTTCTAACTAGTAAGTAGGAAACAAAAGTAGATGATTATAAACAAGTTTTCTTCTTATCACTCGTAAGTAACACAACTTAAGTTAAATGATCTAAGGTTGTGTAATTATTACTTAGATCGTCCTAATTTCCTAATTCTTAAGGCTATTGTTATATTAAATCTAGAGAGATTATTTTAGGTTAATCAATAATGAGTAGTTAGTGAAGAGCTTGTTTCATCAATGATTATCTAAAGGGAATTTTGGGTAATAGAGCTTGTTGTTACCTAGGATCAATAGTTTCATAAGAGTTAAGACAACATATCCATTGGTTACTTTCATTAAATGCGAGGGTAGAAATTGAACCAAGAGTTGAGTTTTTCTTCGCATTGTTTCACATAATTTCTTTTACTTATTTTAATTACCGATTAGTTAACCGAATTCAAAATATTTCTCACGTGTTTTAATACAACTTGAATTAAGGATAAGTTGATCAAACCAATTCTCTATGGGTTCGACCAATACTCACTCTATAACTATGAATCAATAATTAAAAGGAAAGAATTGATTAACTTAATGTATTTGGCACGTTACCATTTTGCATAGTTCCACATATACAACATCAATTGATGAGTTGGAAAAAACTCGTCTAGTAATGTAAGGAAGATGTGGCTTGCATAGGCAGAGTGCAAGTTGAATATTTAGCGAGAGAAGTTGGATGACTTTTAGCACTCGATACCTACAAAACAAATCCCTTTGACTAGTTGATAGACTTTTTGTTGATCAAAATTAACAGTTGAAATGTGACGAATTGACCTAAAGAGATTTTTTAGAGAAAATACTTAATACACAAGAATAGAAAAAGAATGTTAGATAAATATTTTCAAATGAGAGGAGTCGTTCAAATATTCTAACCCTTGATGGTTACAATCCTTATGTAGGTAGGACTCGTGCATGTTGTGTGATGAATATGACATAATTATCCTTCTCTTTTGACATTAATGGTTAAGGCGATAACTAACGGTGATATGTGTATAATTTGGTTTGATATTTGATGATATTATTATTGTTATAATGATCGATAATTTGATTGGTGTCATCGTACAAAAACATTTAATTAAATACTTTGTTTTTCTAGATGACGGTGAAGAAAAGTGAGATTTTTCTTATCTAAGTCGGAACGACATAGGATGAGAGAGTTTCTAAATATTTATTTGAAAGACGACTTGCCTTGCAGGAGATAGATATTTAAAGATTTTTGGCCTAGTGATTACTACCTTTTAATGTGAATTGTGTCACTTATGAGCTTGAATTAGATCTAATAAACTTAGGGTTAAGGGTCGACAAACGGTTCGATTAATAAAAAACTCGAATCAAATCGAATCAAATTATGTATTTTGGTTCGGTTTTAAATCGAAATTTATAAAATTAAAAACTGAGCTAAAAAAACCAAAATTATTTCGATTCGGTTCGATTTTTGAAAAAAAATCGGTTTCCACCGGAAATCGAAAAAAATTAAAAGTAAAAAAAAAATTCCTAAATACTAACTTCCTAAAACCCCAACTGGCTAACTTTACTAAATCAAAATCGATTTTTAGTCACACCTCCTTGGCTCCCCATCCTCTCGTTCCTTCTTCTCCGATTCTCTTTCATCATCGGGCCTTTTACCTCAACAAGATAGCAATTGTAATATAATCAACATCCACTTCTCTCTCAGCTTTCTGTCCTCCTCCTCTAATCTCACCGATCACCACCCAATCACCTACCATCCTCCTCCTCCTATAATTCCATGGAACACCCCGTCACTCGAGTGGATTGCTCGAAATAAATCTACCAACGAACCCAAGTTGCGGTGGGGATGGGTATTCCTCTCTCGGTAAATTTTGGGTATGACACTAATGGATCCACAATTTCAACAAGGAATTTTTCTTTAACCATTGAATATGTGTTCTTTGGTATTGTTATTTACACTTCGTATTTAATTAGATATAAGATGATTTTCCGGAATGGAACGTGATGGAGGTTATGATGCATGGAGGACAACTTTATTGGTTGCCACTCTTTTTGATTGTGACAAGGCGAGTTAATAAAGCTAAAAGATCATTGTGTAGTTGTGCATGCGATGAGTGAGGATCCAAATGATGGGTTTAAGCTTACAAAAGAAAAAGTACGAGTAAACCTCTTAAGGTCTTAACTAGTCATACCTAAAGGTCGAAGCTCATTAATTTGTTGTACAAGTGAAAAGTGTGGTTTTTTATTTGACTCGTTGCACAACAAACTCGGTTTACCTAAAGAATTTCTTTGGCCATACTTAGCTAGTGCTCAACAAGAGCTTTTAGAGCGAGTGGAGGACCTCGAGGGGTTCTTTAAAGGGGATGAGGAGGTAACAAAACAATTTGCTAATATAATCAAGGATGATACATGGTTTCTTTCAAGTTATCAATCATGGAGTAGATCCCAATATTATTAGAAATGCAGAGGATTTCAATAGTTTATTCAAACTTATCGGGCTCAATATTTTGAGGCACTCGGTTCAATTAAGTTTGAATTAAACTCCGTGGTTTTAATCAAAATATATATTTATATTGAGTTACATGGCCTTGTCCCATTCTTACCGTCATTTTTTTTTATAGTAAATGGTAAAAATGGTGGTGGCTTTGGACGGACAATGAAATAATGGTTTGGAGTTTTTTTCAACAAAATATTTTGGTTAAAACCAAAATATTTTGGAATCGAATCAAAATAATTTGGTTACAAACCGAATTTACCGAATTTATTTCGATTCAATTTTGGTTTTTATTTTTCTTGGTTTAGTTAACCGAAAATCAAACTTAATCAAACTTAATCATACAAAATCGAACCGTTTAACCATTTGCTCACCCTTATTTAGGGTACGTTGATAACCCATTTAAGTAGCTTAAAAAATTAAGTTGCAGTACTTAATATAAAAAATTTGTTTGATAATCTAAATAATCTCATATTTAAAATTTAAATTCAGTCAAAATCTACTTAATTAGGTAAGTTAAAAGTTTTTAACTTATTACTATTTGATTAATACACTCAGTTGAAAGGTTTTTTAAACTTTTTAAATATGATTATATAGCTCTCGAGTATTTTTATAACTTTAATTATACAAAGCAATTGAAAAACAATCTCTATTACTCTATTACCAAAACAGTACAAAACCTTCTCCATTATCAATGGTTTCATCCCATCATCGACAACAAGCTACTAGGAATTTGAGGTGCCAAGGTCTAATCCCATTACGGGTGATTTTCCTTCCATTCCATTATGAGTCATTTTTCTCTCGTATCTATTGATATCTTGATCTTTTTTTTTTGGTATATTTTTTTAGAGAAAGACCGATTCGAAATCCAATTCCCTTTTGTCTTTTTATTTTCTCTATTTTGTATCAATAAATTACAAATCATTTTTTTAGGGATTGATAATCGGAGAATTAGGAATTAAATTGGCTATTTGGGTTTTGATTTTAATTGATAGTTTTGTGTAATTTAATTGGGCAAACTAATGAGGATTTTTATAAAATTTGGAATTCTTGTTTAATTTATTTGAAGAGAGTATATGGAATTCATTTTAAGAGTTGGTTGGTAGGCGATATAATTTAGTTGATTGTAATGGGTTATCTTGTTATATGAATCACACGAAGCTTTAGATGAAATGCTTGATTTTCAACACCTAGAATTAGTTTTAATTGGTTTTTTTGGTATGCTTGATAGCGAAGAGTGGAACAGATGGAGGAATTGTAAGTCGTGTGTGGTATTGCAATCTTGGTCGTGGTTGTAATAATGGGCGCGATTGAGAAGGTAGGAAGGTGGTGTTTTTCATATAATTGGCATATCGTCAATTATTAGTGTGGGATACGCCGATATTATGGTGGTTTCTATGATGATACAACAATGATAATATTGAGAATAATGCCAATGAGATAGTACGAAATCCATGATTCCGAGATCCATCTCTCTCTTGTTTGTTGTTGGATCTTTTGGAAAAATGCAAGAAGAATAAAAGAAAAATTGTTACTCGGTAGTTTTTTTGAACAATTTGATGGCGATCATATGATGCATTAAACACCAAATGTTATTGTAAATTTACCATTCATCGGAGGAGGGGCACAAGCACGAGCCGATCAAACATTTATAATTAATTGGCGAGATCAAGTTGCAAATGAATTTATTAGTACTTGATATTTTATTTATTTTATGCATGATACAAAAATTAATATTATCTTAGACGAGTGTTTAATTTTTTATTAACAATCATTTTTTATTGAATGTTTATTTATTTATGCACACAAACACATATATGTATATATTTTTACTTGTGTTAAAAAATATTATGTTACAACTACAATGTTAAAATTGTCTTGTACACAATCTTAATATGTTCATTAATAATATTTATTAAACAATCTTATTATATTAAGACAAAATAACTTATTAGGAATATATTAAATACTTAATTATTTAATATTTAAAATTTAATACTTAATTTTTAATTTTATCAAAAGATCGTATTTATGTTACTAGTTGTGTTACACGACCTACTCTTATTAGACTTGTGCAACCTAACAATGGTATTATATATATATATATATATATATATATATATATATATATATATATACTCTGTTTTTTTCCACCATGTCAGGGATGTCTCAAGTTTAAATCCAACTAGTGATAGCCTAAAAAATTCATTTTAAAGACATTGTCTTATCATTCCATAAAAGTAAATATCTTTACCATTGCGTTTTTGAAGCCCGGGTCCCATGTAAAAGGGCGGTTGAGATGCACCTTTACACATTAAACCACCACAGACGAGGGGAGACAATAAATCAGAACATTCCGGCGGGAAATCGAGCAAAGTGGCGGGAACTTAAAAACGACCCGAAAACATCAAAATAAAACAAACAAATTTCTCTCTTCTATTGATTTTTCTCTCTCAAGCCACTTTTTTGTACAAAAAATTGAAAGCTAAAAATGGGAAGGAAGGGAAGGGAAGCTGTGGGTTCTCATGAAGAAGAAGAAGAGATGGAATCCGAAGTAGAAGAAGAGATGGAATCCGAAGAAGAAGAAGAGGAACAGAAAGAAAATATGAATCCATCCTCTGCAAACGAGAAGAGCCTCTACGAGGTATTTGAACATTTGCGTGTCTTGTCTTGTCTGTTTGTTTCATATACATTTAATGATGTTTTGGCCTTAGATTAGAAATTAGATTAATGGGTTTTTGTTATTTCTTAAAATTGTCACATGGGTTTTTCTGTTTTTCTGTTTTATTTGTGCTTTGGTTGCTGTTGGTCTCAAATTCTATTGAATGTTTTTATATACTGTAAATGGGAAGTTAGGGTTTCTTGTCTTTTGCAGTAACTCTGTTGATTCTTGATTGGATATCTTACAAATGGCATTATTACAAATTTTGAAGTGGTGAAACTGTGTTACGCAAATTGGAGTTGGGAATAGGTTTAAGAGTAGTGAGAAGACATTCTTGATCCTACTGAATTTATTTTTTTAACATGAATTTTTAATTTCTTTTAGGAAATCAAGCGGAGATGTTTTGCATACAAAATAGAGAAATAGAATTCGCTTTCGATTTTCGCTTTTTGGTCTTTATTTGTCAAGTTGCAGTGGGGATGGGTGGATCGAAACTATTCCTCTTGTTCTACCATGTTGTAAGCAGATGACAGCTATGTCAAAATTCCGCATTGTTGGTACTTCTGTTTGTTCTTGCCTTTTGGCACCATTGCTGCCTTAGTCGCGTACTCCATGAGTCCCGTGTTCTTCATACTTCTGTTTCTTACCTCCATCTCTGACTTGTTTTGCTCTGTGATGCTATTTACTTTGTAATTTGAAATGAAGTGAGATAAACGAATGACAACCCACTTGTTGCAGGTTCTTGGTGTTGAGAAAACCGCATCTCAACAGGAAATAAAGAAAGCATATTATAAGTTGGCCTTGCGACTTCACCCTGATAAAAATCCTGGTGATGAGGTAATTTGTTTGGATTCCAATTTTCCTTATTTGCGTCTTTGTTTCTCAGTGCTAATTGTTTATGACAAGTCATTTTGTCTTCAAATAGGAAGCTAAGGAGAAATTTCAGCAATTGCAAAAGGTGATATCAATTCTTGGCGATGAGGAAAAAGGGCAGTCTATGACCAGACTGGCTGTGTTGACGATGCTGTAAGTGCTTCTTGTTTTTGTTTTAGTTATTTTTATTGGGATTAATGAGTCCAGGATCACAGGACGCTCATTGAGTGTTAAAATTTTCTGCATATGCTTTCTAGCATTTGACTTTGAGGGCAGGGACAGCCTTCCATTCCTTGCAAAAATAATTGCAAGTCATAGCGAAGCAATGATGTGCCAGTTTCCATTTTTTTTCTTAAGAAAGGAACGCAAGTTAATTCATTCATTGTTCTGAAAAGAAAAATGAATGATTGACTTTCCTGGGGAATTGAAATGTTCTCTTTTCATCAGGCATTGTGAACCTCATTGCTGCTTTTCTTGTTGATCAGGATCTTGCAGGGGATGTTGTTCAGAATTTGAAGGACTTTTTCAAAACCTTTTACAAAAAGGTCATATTATCTGGTCCTGCATCTTTCTTGTTTTCATATACTATTATTTTGGCTAACCACTAGCTTGAGTTGACACTGGGCTTCCAATTCAGGTCACTGAAGCTGATATTGAAGAGTTTGAAGCAAATTATAGAGGATCTGATTCAGAGAAAAGTGATTTGATTGACCTCTATAACGAGTGCCAGGGTAACATGAGAAGGTATTGTAGCTTCAGACTTTTCTCCCTGGCTCTCTAGTTTAAGCTGAACTTCCTTTTTCCGGACTTTATAGTATGAGATTGAACTTTTTTCCCCCATTTTCAGGCTCTTCTGTTCAATGCTTTGCTCTGATCCTAAGCTTGATTCACACCGATTTAAGGATATTCTGGATGAGGCAATATCTGCAGGTAACATATTAAACTAACCTCCATAGCTATGTGGTCAGCAAATGTTCCATCTATACATTTCTATGGGTTAAAAATCTTAATGAAATCTGTTATTATACGTTTACATGAAAATTGGGAAGCTGAGACCACATGACTTGTTGGCTCCATCTTGAGATCATCACATCTTTATTAAATCTGATATGATGCCTTTAGCTTGAAAATGGAAAGCTGAGACCACATGGCCCGTTAGCTTCCGTGACATTTTATTTTGTTTGCTTTTGTAGGAGAAGCGAAGAGAACCAAAGCTTACAAGAAGTGGGCGAAACGAATATCTAAAACAAGACCACCTACCAATCCTTTAAAAAGGAGGGAGAAGTGAGTATTCTAGGATAGGGTTTTTGTTATTTTAATAAGTTCTTGCCCACAGATATTTTAATATAGCGTTTTATCTTTTGCAGGTCGACAAAAGAGCCAGCATCAGATCTATTTGCAATCATATCTGAGCGCCAAAGTAAGAGGAAAAACCAGGTGAACTCCTTGCTCTCATCTCTGGAGGCAAAATATGGCGGGAGCAATGCAACTTCAGAACCCACTGAAGAAGAATTTGAAGCAATACAGAAGAAAATGGAAAGCCGCCGTAAGGGCTCCAAGAAGTCAAAGCAAAAGTAACTTCATTGTGCTTGTGTTTGAATCCAGAACTTGTTTTTGTGCAAATTTTGTTTACTGTAAGCCCTAGGTGCAAGCGTCTTTGTTTTAGTTATTCCAATGAATGGGATTGCTAGGTGTGCGCATTTGAGATCCTTTTATAACATTTTGGACGCATTGTTTCTGATTTTAGGTTTTGACTGCAAAATCTAGATCCAGCCAAAGGCTTGCATTCGGCATTTTTTTCAACTACGGGTTGCATGCATTACTCCATGAGACTTTTAACTTACATAAAGCGAATGGAAACCATTAAAGTGGTTGATGAGGGCTAACTTGGATAATGCAAGGTGTAAACCGTCAGCTTGGCCATCCTCATTTCTCCACTGTTTTTGAATGAATCCAAAGGCACCGCCGGTCTTGGCCTTGGAGCCACGGCTGGATAGCACACTCATCCGCCCATGGCTCTTTGAGCCGCTGGAGATGGCCCCAAAAAGAATACTGGTGCCAGCTTCCAAGGCAAGATTGCATGCAAAGTAATTCATCTCGATTTCATACCAAACAATCAGTGGATTTTCAGAAGTAGCTTGTTTTCCTGCTACGGTCAGGTTAATGTAACTGTGGATGCATAATGAGACAAACTTGAAACCATGTATTGCGTATGGGCTACTGCTTGGAAAAGTGCGAGGCTAGAACATAAAAAAGGCTTTTATCTAAGTAGACTTATATGGACGAAGTGGTCCTCTCCTAGAATTTTACTTGGTTTATGGAGTGGGCATGTCCTTGTGGGCATGGTTAATAAGCGAAGCAAACATTTGTTACCCCATTCACGCCAAATTGACATCATACCTCATTGTTCGACACAAAAGCTTAGGTCATTTTTCCTATTGGATATTAGATTTTTGGGTCCATTATTTTCCTAAAATAAAGCAACAGAATAAATGTCATACAAACTTCACAGATATTGCATCATCTGACCCCTTGACCAAGTCAACCATCTACGCAATCAGAGAAGATCTGGCCATAAACTTGGTCTTCATTAAATATTTGAGCCTGTAATTCATTTTTCACTTAGGTTAGGCCCCAACAAAAGCATTTCCAAACTCCATGATTATACCCAAAGATGCATATGATAAAGCACTTCATTGGTCTCAAAAAACAAAAATTTAGGGCATGCATCATGTACCCTTAAAGCCAAAAACCCACATGAATAACAGCACAAATATTATGCAACTTTCTAGCAGGTGGTTATAGCTAATCTCCAAAACCTAAACCACAACCAAAAATTCACGTATAAAATAAGATATTTTTGTTCTAAAATTAAGTTGCAAGGATGGTGACTTCACAGCTGCATGCTAGGAAACATTCCCCTGATCTTCCAGGAACCTGTACATGCAAGCAAAGCCTTTGCCTTTTTCTTTGGTCTACCATACCTGTCATTGATGCCCTTGTTGGTATGATTCTCTCTTACATTTTCTATTTGGTTGATAGATAAACAACTACCAAATGAGTACCAATATTTATATATATTTGTGCTGCAAATTACTTGAGAGTGTCCGTGTCCCTCCACTCCACTCCACCCACCCCACCTCTCTAATCCTTTCTTTCTTTGCTTTTGGTAAGTCATCAAGTCTTTAATTAAGTTTGCTTAGTGCTTTGGTTGTCTTTGTCCTTTCTTTCTATCTCATAATCGTGGAATGTAGCTTTACTTGACTTTATTGTCTCTTTTACCTATAAGGCCCATCTCACTCACTTTCTACGCTTGCTTCAATAGACTCTAGACTCATCTTTTTTGCATCAATTTCACTCGCATAGTAACTAATTGATACTCTGTACAACGGGTAGCTGCTAGTATTGCCTTTTCTCTTCGAAGTTTGCATCTTTTTTCTTCTTTTGCGTGGTAAAAGTCTTAACATGGAATTTACCCATAAAACCCCAAGATTTCTAAAAATTTGCTTCTAATTCATCTTAGCTTGAAGTTATGACTCATTTATGTTGTGTGGCTCTTCTGGGTTTTTGTTGAAGGTTCTAATGGAGGCAGATACTGCTGAAGTGAAGTCAAAGATGGAAGATTATGAAGTTATAGAGCAGATTGGAAGAGGAGCTTTTGGTTCTGCTTTTCTTGTTCTTCATAAAAATGAAAAAAGAAGTAATGAATTAAGTTTTCTAGCAAGTTTTTTCTGGGGTTTCCGTTCTTTATTTCTATTGATCTTTTGCATATAACTAGAGTAACCCACTTGATTAATTCAATCAAAATTTTCATTTCCATAGAAGCATAAGAAACGTGGTTCTTGGTGTTGAGTGATTGAAGAAGATGAACTGTTTTGGTATTTCTTGTTGGTTATTGATTATGTTAAATTGATTTCAATTCTAAACACAATATTTTGATAGAAATTGTGAGTTGGGCTTCACAGTGGTTGGTAGTGGTTGTGTCGGCACGATCCTTTATCTGCTAGCAGTCATTGTCTTCAGTCTAACCAGTTGATGTTTGAGGTTCCTTTTTCGCTTTTTGGTAGGTATGTGTTGAAGAAGATTCGCTTGGCTAAGCAGACAGAGAAGTTTAAGCGCACAGCTCATCAGGAGGTCACCTTCACACTTTTTTTTTTTTTTTTTAATGCTATTGCTCAAGACTTTTGTTGCCAATTTGTCATTTATTCATTTTACTGCCTAGAAAACTAACTAGGAGATTTATGTTGTTCTGATTCATTTGTCTTAATATCTACTTTAAGCTATTTAATCATGACAGGTTGTTGGAAATGCCGGCATGTTTTGTATAACCTTGTAAACAAATTTTAAATGTTACTGCATTTCCTTTGGTCTAGTTCCTGTTGTGGAAATACTAATCAAATTATGGGAACTTTTCCATCCTGGAAAATTTAAATAGTTCAATGATGACAATGATGATTATATAATCCACAATTTTTTTTTTGGGAGTTAAGGCATAAATTACCAAAATCTTGGTTGATATGTACTGCAGATGAACTTGATTGCGAAACTAAATAACCCTTACATTGTGGACTACAAGGATTCTTGGGTAGACAAGGTAGCCACATCATTTCTTAATGTTCTTATGTACAATTTTATGGAAATTATTACCTTTGAGACTAACATCGACTCTGAACACTTCTCTTTGTCTTTTTGCACCTAAAAAAATGTTTACGTTTCTCTGTGTTATGCAGGGAAACTGTGTATGCATTGTAACAGGCTACTGTGAAGGAGGAGACATGTAAGTTATTTGAAAGCCTGTACCATTGTCCTAAATGGGATAAGAGATGGAATGTAGTATATATTTCTGATCAGACACTAAAGAAATGAAATCTTGATCTAGAAAGTTGACCAGTAAAACATTCACATCAGAAGATAATATAAGAGTAAAGCTAATAATTAAACATGTCGTCAAAACACTTCATGAACAGCTGAATGATAAACACTTTCCTTTTCTTTCCCAACCAGGGCTGGGATTATAAAAAAGGCCAGAGGAATATTTTTCCCAGAGGAGGTAATCATTAAGGTTTTCATATGTTTCAAGTTTATTAATTATTACCTACACCTTGTCAACATTGTTCTTCTGTTTCGTTGCCCAGAAACTCTGCAAATGGCTGGCTCAGTTGTTGCTAGCTGTGGACTACTTGCATTCCAACCGTGTCCTTCACAGGGATCTAAAGGTATACTTACCCTCACCCATGTGATTAAGGAAAGTTTATAAATGGTTTGTTACTGACATAAACTCACTGAATGACTTGTTGAATTTCAGTGTTCCAACATATTCCTTACAAAGGACAATGACGTTCGCCTTGGTATGTAAGCCAAAAGAAATACTAGTCAGAAGGATTTTCTTCTTCATCAGGTTTGGAATATATATCTTGGTTTCTTTTAAGAGTAGTATCTTATGTGGCCTGAACAGGTGACTTTGGACTTGCAAAGCTGCTCAACACAGAGGACCTAGCTTCTTCGGTATGGACTTGAATACATCTCCAGTATATTACTGGCTTACTTTGTTTTTATGTGTCAATTGAAAGTATACACCTGATTTCGAACTGTTAGAACTTTTCTTCTCAAAATGTATTTAAAGCCTGCAATACAGAATACTATGTAGTACGATTTAGTGTCCCATCATGTTTAGATTCAAAATCCTGAGAGCTGATGTTTGAACTACTTATCTTAAAAATGGTTCTTTACGCCCTTTTGTTTTCTATGCCTTCACATGTCACTTAGGTAGTTGGCACTCCTAATTACATGTGTCCCGAGCTCCTAGCAGATATACCTTATGGCTACAAATCTGACATATGGTCACTTGGTAAGAAATCTGGAAGCATGGTTTTGAATTTATCAAATTTACTTCTTCACTGGAAATAACATCTATCTGCTATTTCAGGTTGCTGTATGTTTGAAATTGCAGCACATCAACCAGCATTTAGAGCTCCTGTAAGTACGAGCCTGAGCTTCTGACATGAATGTAGCATAAATATAATTTGGTTACTAGTATAGAACCCGCAATTTAATTTAGTATGAACTTCAAAGTACGATAAATAAATAGTAACTTGAACAGGATATGGCTGGACTTGTCAACAAAATAAACAGATCCTCCATTTCTCCTCTTCCAATTGTGTATTCTTCCTCGCTGTAAGTGCTGTCTTTCCCAAATTTATCATAAATTCCATTTATCTACTCCTTCACACCCATAACAATAGTCATGCAGTATTTTTTCACTTGCGAATACCCATGCATGTATTGTTGTAACTTTAGTGGTCTGAATGTATGGGATGATTTTGATGCAACAGGAAACAAATTATTAAGAGCATGCTGAGGAAGAACCCAGAACACAGACCAACGGTAATTTTGACTGATCTAAATTTGTATTCTATTAATTTTAACACCATAATCCTTTCTTATATCTGCACGCTTTGACGAAATAGGCTGCAGAATTATTGAGGCATCCACATTTGCAACCACATCTCCTCCGTTGCCGCAATGCATCTTCAGTTTTTCTTCCAATATTTCCCATAAACAACTCAAAGGAGAAAACCAGAAGAAAATCATTGCCTGCCAAACTTAGTGTTGTCATAGACAACAGAGGCGAGGAAGTTGGTGCATCGAAGCAGCCAGAAAATGAACATCCATTTGGGAGAAATATTGTTGCACAACGAAGCAATTTACCTCAGAATGACAAGCCAACATCAATGTCTAGCACAGAAGACAACCTTGAAAACAAGACGGTTGATCCTACTAGCTGTTCAGTGGAAGTATCTGATGGTCCTAAAGACAGCTCCACTGATTCTGAAACAAGTGTTTGCAATGGCGAGAAGCAAGCAAATTGTAGCAGTCCACCTCAAAAGGATGGCACTGACATTGAGTCTACCTCAGAGAGCATCCCAAATTCTCAGCTTGAAGAAGAAGAACCCAGTGTTGTGCATTTTCAACATCTGCAAGAGGTTGATGTCAAAATTGTGACAACAAAGGATCAAGCAACATTTTGCAGCGGACAAGTTCCTGAAGAACTTCAAACAGAGGGGCAGAGGGATACAGTGGATGAAACGAGGAAACTGGAAATGCCTAGTCTAAGTTGTGTCAATCATGATGCCTCCTCTGATGATAAAAGCCCACCTTCAACTGTAAACGAACCTTATGCGGAGGTCTTACAGAAACCAGAAAGTCCAGATGTGTACACAGAAAGTGCTCATATGGACTTCTTGTCATCTGAAACTAATGATGTACTTCCATGTAAAGATGAAATACAAGAAAAACCAGAAAGCAACAATTGCTCCACCGAGACAGAGAAAGATGATATTCATGCCATGAGTAATGCACAATTGCTGAGTACGCTCGCTGCACTAACTGGCGATGAAACCAAGAGCGATTGGGAGAATCCGACTCAACAAAGGGCTGATGCTCTAGAGTCTTTGCTAGAGCTATGTGCACGGCTACTTAAGCAGGAAAAAATTGATGAGCTCGCTGGTGTGCTAAAGCCATTTGGAGAAGAAATGGTCTCGTCCAGAGAAACAGCAATCTGGTTGACAAAAAGCCTCATGTCTCAACAAAAACTTAATGGAGGGACCTGAATTTGCGGTGTTTTCAACTAATTTATTCATTGTTGTGAGAAAATGTATGTAGTTAATTGTGTTGGCATATAATGTGTTTTTCCAGAGTGTTGTTGGATTGAAGAGTATAACTTAAAGCATATTTACAGATCGTTTACTTATTACTGGATTTGATGGAAATAAGCTCCTCTATGAGAGGGGGAAAAAAGAAAATCCTATCTTTGCATTCTGTAGAACTATGTTGTCAAGTGGGTCAGAAGGCATCTAACGGTTAGCCCCAAGTTAATGCAGATGCTCTGAAGCAAATTTGCCTTCATGTCATCTGCTGAAGAACGCATCAGCTTATAAGCAATCAAATCTTAGAATAGTAATTTGCAAGTCCATGTCTGGATGGACCTTTGAAATGAAGAATAATTCAATGAGCCTTTGAACAAAAATTTTTCCCTTAAATTGTAACCTTCATTGCCCAATGGGGGATGGGATGTTTTTTTTGTTCCTTTAGCCAGTAAATTATACATTCCTATTGCTTTCTTTTTTTTAAAAAAAAACGTTTAGCGCAATGTATCATCGATCACATCTAACATCAGAAATGGAACAGAAAAAATGCATCAATCACAAACAAAAATGGAACAGAAAAAAGATGTGTAACAAATTGATCAAATCGTATTAAGAACAGAATTACCTTTAACCACCTTTGTTACATAAATAAATCATTTTTCCCCATCCCCTCCTTCATACACACTCTTGTTTTTTCACACCCTTTCCTATATGTATTCATTTTTCTCCTGTTTGAATGAGCTTACTGCAAATAATAGGCAAAGAATGACACAAGGGAAGCCCCAATCATAGATCCAACAACAGGCAAGGTTGCGGATACCCCACTGGTAGGGGAGGGAGCAGGAGCTGAGACCTCATCAGCTGCCAAAGCTGCACTCATGGAGGCAGCGACGACTAGGACAGCGCAGGAGACCTTCTTCAATTCCATGATGCAAAAGAGTGATGATAGGTGCCTCGACCTGCCTTGGAGATGAAGAAAGGGTTTTGATTCTTTATTGCTAGATACTTTTTTTGCTTTATGCAGGTCTGAATGGTATCAAATGGCGGTGTTAGGGTATTTATAAGAAGCATTAAGGTTATTTTAAGGAAGAAAATGGTTAACGTTAGTTTTGCAAGGATTGGTTTAGCATGTTGTAAGGATTGACAAGGTAGCTAGCTGGCTGGCTCCCTGTGATGTTTCCTTATAATAGCTTTGCGGTAAAGAAAATTTTGGCCATAATTTTGCCGGGTTTTTAGCACAATTTATCAAATAATTCATAAACATCCTAATTAAGTTGGTAATTATCTTTCACTCCAGACTTTAATCCATAATTGCAATGATGGAAATGATTGCTCGAACGCACCAAGTGGTGGAATATGCGAGATTTTAGAGGACTGGATAAACTGTAGAGAAATCTACAATTTGAGTTTTCAATTTTTTTTTTTTTGGTCCTTTGAATGCTTAACGGTAAATTTCTCTGTTTGAGTGCTTATATTTTGATTTTTTTTTTGAATACCCATAATCATCCAAAACTAAAAAATACTGATGTGTTCATAATAAACTATCACTTGATAGTTTTTAACCGACACATGACAAAGAATAAATTCTACTTAGGTTATTCATAAAAAAAAATACAATTTGATTGTCAAACCTTTCATTATTTTTCTTGTTCTGTGTCTAACATTTGATTTTTTTTTATTTGATTTTCTTTAGTCATCTAAAATTGAAAAATACTAACGTAATCGGGATTCACCGACATTTGATAGTCTTTAATTGACACATAATAAAAAATGAATCCTACTCAAATTGATTGAAAAAAATAAAAAAGTTAGAAAAATTTTATAAAGGAAAATATTGGCAGGAGTTTTTTTTTTAAAATAAATCAATTAATGTTAGATGAATGAACTCAAATTGCATAGATGATTCGAAGTTAAGACTTTTGAATTGAATAAAGAAAATAGTAGATGCTGATGTCTTGAAAGTGTTTTAAGAACTTAGTCAGTAAACTTGTAGAATTTATTTGGCTAGTAATAATTGATTTTGATTTTTTTTTTTAATTATTGTCAGCTATTTTTTTTTTTTAATTTTTATAACCATGTCCAAAAAAACGTAGAAAGTCATATAATTTGAGATAGTTGCAATTAAAATATAATTCAGGATAAGATTGAAAATCATATTTTATGGAGTGTTTTATTTATCTCAAAAGTGGACAATCATTTTGGTCATCTCAACAAGGAAATATGGAGTAACAAAGTGGGATGGAAGGGTTGGTACTCCAAATATTACGTAGTTGTAAAATTTTTGTTGATTTATATACATATAGAAGAACATAAAAATATTACAATTAAACTTTGGGATCGTATAATGAATAGGTTATTCTCACGAAAACAGAATGTAAAGCAAGGAGAGAGAATTAGCTACATCCAAAATTAAAAGTGATGGCAAATTGAACTTTCTGACTTTGAAAATTTTCAAGAAGTATAATCACAAAATGGTAGTTAACTGACAAATAAGTATTATAAAAAGTATTAATTTATAGGTCAGATTCAAGATTTAATTCTCGAGTTCAATATTTTTAAAAATTTATTCTTCAAATATTCAAAATTATATGTTAAAAAATATCATTTAATCACGTCCAAAGAATTATTAATTTTAAAATGCATAAAAACCGATCTGAAAATATATTTATTACTGAAAAAAAATATTCAACAAGTATATTGATCGATCTTTCTTTGAAAAAACAATATTTTCTGGCTATACAGTTACTGCGGCTTATTAATGATACAGTAACCCCCTTATTTTCATTGGAAGAGGCTGATCGATCATAAAGCGAAAATCCCAGCATAATTATTACATCCACACTCATGAAGGATGCATGGATTGATTGATTTTTTGAAATCAAATGACTCCAAATTTGGTTCCATTTGGGTTTTTAATTGGAATTATTTAGATTATTAATTTCTTTACTAATTAAACGAAAATTTTATATAACATGTGGGATCTCTAAGAATTCGAGTGACGTTTCACTATAATAGCGAGGAAAAAGGGCTAGTTAATTTTAACCATTTTAAAGAGCTATAGGTTCTTGTAATATTTTTTATTTTATCTTGCTCTGATCTGCTACCATATTCATATATTGTTTTTGACGTACCACCTTTCTTTTTTTGACATATTAACTCACTCGCCTTGATTTACCTACAGTGCCCGTTAATCACTGGTACCATATGTACCCCAAATTCCACAATAAAATAGAGAATTAGTCTTTATTTATTGGAGTGATTTTCTTTTTTTCTTTTTAGAGATTCATTACACCAAAATTCCACTATCCCATCTTGGTTCAAGATTTTATTACATAAACTTGGTTTATACGTAACTTGGTTTTCTTTTTTTCTTTTATTTGTAAATTTTAATTTTTCTATCTTAATTTTATCAAATTGAATTTTAGAAGCACCATCCAACATCTATACCTTAATGTTAATCAATACATTATGCCATTTCTTGGATTGTGTTTTACAATGAACATATTTTATTTTAATTTATAAACATGATTCATAAATTACTTTAAACACGCAAACCTACTGAAATTAATTTATAGTTAGTCAAATTCTAAATTCCTTGCGTAATTAGCAATAGAAACTTAGTCAAATTATAATTAATTAACGCAATTCCTAACTTGATCCTTGTGGTCTTATAAAGCTCACTTATGCCATTTCTTTGTTCCGCTTTTTTATATTTTGAATTGACCTATGTAACATTGAAATCGAATAGTATTGAGTAGTGAAGCCAACAAAACTAATTGGTTTCTTTGTAGAGTAATTAGTGGGAGAAAAAAGAGAGAAGAAGAAGATACTTTCTTAAACATGAAAGTGTGCTTTAGCCACATCTGATCAGAATATAGTAGTAAAAAAGATAATTAAATTAAATGAAAAAATTCATATAAAAATATGATACCAAGCAAGGGAAGTAATCGAAAAAATATTAAAAAAATTTCAAGACCCTTTAATTTGGCGTAACAAATAAAATAAAATTAAAGGCCTCATCAGTATCCAATTATTGCTTTAAAAAAAGAAAAAGAGTCCAAAACCCTAAAAAAAAAAAAAAAGGGAATGGCATTGAAGGTGTTGTAAATTGAAATGGATACGTATTATGGTAATTTCATAAAAGAAAAGAAAAAATCAATTCCATTGTATCACCAATCACTATAGACTCATGAATCTATCTACTTACAAGAAATCATTTACTCTAATAATTAATTATAACAAACGCACTATTTGCGTGTGTGGAAATATGGGTGCCTCCTCTTTCACAAGATCCAAAAACTTTTTATTCAATTAAATCTTATCCTACAAAAATTTAAATATAAATAATAAACTAAACATTAAAATTAAATGTTATTAATTATCACCTTACTCTCAAAATTTTGGTCTTGTCCTTAATAATTCCATGTCACCTTTAATTAAGAAAGAAAAAGCCATCAATGCCATAATAAGCACATATAATTAACTTCTAGTTAAAAGAAAAAAAAATTGTAAGCAAACTTCAATTGCCATTCACAACTTTGATACATATTGAAATTTGAAGTTTATATATCCTTCTCCTTCATTTATGAAGTTAATAAATCTGTATAATTACATTCAAATATATAATTCGAAATAGCATGAATTTTTTTCATTTATCGTTACTGTGCTAATTACATGAATTTCTTATCTGCTCCACGTCTCAATATGAAATGGGCCAAAAGTTGTTCGGTGATTGAGCCACGGTCCAAATCCAATTCCCACCAACTCTTTTTATTACGCCACGGCAATTTAGCTGGTGATAGAGAGTTCCCATCTGTTCAGACTTAGAGAGACACAAGAAGGAATGAAGTGAAACTTGGCAGATACGAACCATTGGGTGCAACCAATGCCCTCCTGCCACAACAACTTGGGCTGGTAGTAATTCTAACCAGTCAAAAGAAGGAAACGTTTTGTGGGGCCCAGAATCCAACCCTGCACCTTAATGGTTCCCACAAGCCGTAACTAAAAAGGCATAATTACTGTGATCACAACATTTCACGTACTATGTGCACCAAAAATTGTAAGAAGATGTGACATGAACTATATATAAGTACCCACATAAATTTCATGTTTTCATCGTTCATGCCCTTTGCCTCCTTAGACACATTAAACCCAACAATTACTTAATCAATTTACCCCCTCTTCTACATTTTTGTCTCTAAATTTTTTGTTGATCAAAGATAATGGCACAATTTGGTGTTTCATTTGTTCACATTGTGATAGCTATGGTGGTTGTGGCTTTGTTGCATAACTGTGGAGTGATGGCACAGGGCATTTCTCCTACACCAGCTATGGACGCTGGAGCTGGGTTTGAGTTGCCAATTTCTATGGCTATCATCTCTTTTTCTGTGATATCTTCTCTTCTTGCTCTTATGTTGCATTAATCTTTACAGTCTTAATTGGGGATTGATATCCTTCCTTATTTGGAGGACACAGAGAGGGTGGTGTGTCGGGGTACTGTTGGGTTTGATTTTATTCTTGTTTTCATTTGACATGTTTGTTGTTGTTTTAGGAATGTGATTATAGCAAGTGCTGTACTGTAATTGGTGTGGTTGAATATCATAAATAAAGTGATACTTATTACACTCTTTGTTCTTAATTTTATAAATTAGAAGCATGGTTTGAGTTAAGACTGCATTTCCTATTCTTGTTTTTTGTTAAACCTTAATTTGTAGATGAAAATTTTGGGTTCGTACAAGCGGATTGATATTTGATATATATCCTTAGAGTGGAAGAATTATTTGGAATAAAAACGATTCAGGTTCAGGCTCACAACAGGAAGGCATTTGTTAATTGTTGGGTTTTTTTTTTTTTGAATATTTGGGCAAATAAATCTACGACAAGAAAATTTTGCAATGAGTTGGCTTAGAGGATAAGATCAGAACGTATTATCATTTTAAGTTTAATTCAAATAAAGACTATAAGAACAATTTCCGTAAATACATTAATTTTAATCAATATTCATAATGTGTTTGATATCAACTGAAAAAAAAATTTACTATCTAAAATTGAACAAATATACTTTCAACCTTCTTTCTTTTTAGAACAATACCTTGAATCTCAAAACTAATACAAATAAGAATGATAATATCATCAAATTGAGTTAATTACATTTTTATGTCCTAACTCGTCAATATTTCTAATTGAGTGTGTGCTTTTTAAACTTTGTCATCCGAATAGATTAATTTTTTATTTTTAACTCTCATTGACTTTATGTTGACATGTTCGTTAACCGCACATGTGACACCGATATATGGGCTCCATTGTCATTTTTTTTATACAAACTTGTTAATTTTTTCTATTTGAGTGTGTAAATTTTGATCTTTACTATTTGAGTATAGCAATTTATAATTTTTTCTATTTAAGTGGTTCTGCTAACTCTAAATTAATGTGTCTATTAACTATACAAGTGACAATAAATTTTTTCCTTAGTGAAAATACTTCACTTAAAAAATGAGAATGGATCGTTGTCTCGCAAATGAACACATCATTTTTTTTTAACTTTCAATTATTTTCTTATATCTCGGTTATGTTTAAGTAATTTGTTTGTCCATTTTTTTTTTAAATATATGCATGTTATAAATATATGATTGTTGATATGTAAATTATTTTTCTTTCTTGTTGCTATTCGAGAATAAGAATAGCTTGTTATTCTTTAATTTTTAATTTTTTTAATTACCCTATGTCTTGAAAATAGGCTCACATAACGATTTCACGTATATAGTTAATAGACACATCGGTGTGGAGTTAATGAAACCATTCAAATGGAAAAAATTACAAGTTAATACACTCAAATAGCAAATATCAAAGTTTATGCACTTAAATAGAAAAAATTAACAAGTTCATACAAAAAATAAAAAGACAATGGAGCCTATATGTTGGTGCAACATGTGTAGTTACAACATGTGTAGTTAAGGGTCATGTCAAGCATAAAGTCAATGAAAATTAATGAAAAACTCAATCTAAATTATGGAGTATAAATTATTTAGCAGCTTGATCTCAACCAATAAATAATTTTTTTGTTAATATTTACAAATAATAAAGTATTTTCATATCAATTTTTTTGTATCAATCTAAATTAAATCCATTACGTCATGGATTAGATCATCAATGATTTATGTCTAGCATTTAGTTGATTATAAAGATCAAACTTTTGAGTCTAAAAATAATTCATATTTAGCATCACACAATAAAAAGAGATAAGATTTTCAATGACAAGAATCAAATATCTTACTTAACAAATCAAAAGCACTCTTTTTACTCCATTTACAATCTTATTCGATTGTTTTATCCAAATAATTTTAGATCGTGTGACAAAAACTTTATATGCATTTACAACACATTTGCTATGAAATTTAACCCAAATTTTTTTCTATAAAATCTTTCAGTTATTTAGCCATATGTCAAGTTTCTTTTTTCTCTCTTTTTTTTTTTCAAAATAAAAAAGGCATGAAGTGTGAATTAAAAAAAGAAAAAGAATAAGAATAAGAAAAAGCCTAATAACAACCTAGGAAATTCTCAAAAAAAAAAAAAAAAAAAAAAAAAAGTTAGCAAAATTTCTCTTACATTTGAGGCTCGAGGGCCGGGCTCAAAATTCTCCTTCACAATGGTCGTTGGGGTTTACTAGCTTCTTTTTAGCCCGGTGTCTTTGGGTTGGGAAGTTCCAATTTTTATTTCAGTTCTTTATGCTATAAGAAAAAAGCTTGTTTTTATGGTGATAAATTTATAGGAGAATTGAAATTGTAGGATTCTCTTAGGAGATAAATAGTCAAAACTTATTTCCTGTTTTGAATATCCAATTGATTTTGTGGTAAGGTAATAAGAGTTTATAATGATGTCTTTCTTCAACATTTTTCAATTAGATAGATAATTATTAATTATTAACAGACATTTGGTTTAATGATAGTGAATTATTTATATTTGTCATAAATTATAGATTTAAATTTTCTCTATAGAATATTTGAATTTAAAAATGCATTTTTTTTTCATATTTACATCTTGTATTTTTTGAATCTTTTTTACTAAAACTCTTCATTCTTTTATGATTTGATTGAAATTTTTTATTCTTCAACATTATTTGTTTCGGACTCTCTATTAAAATGTCATCAATGAATGATTGACACATGATATTGTAAAATAACAAATCTCGAAGAATACAAGTGACGTGTCGATCATTGAATATCGATGAAGTTATAAAGGAAATTTGGAAATAAAAAAAAAACTGAAAGAATTGGGAGTTTGAAAAAAAATAGAGGATTTTAATTAAAAAAAATTGAAAAATACATAATTTAAATATGGGGAAAATCTTTAAGAAAATCACATTACAAGAAGAAGTTATCATAGTAGTCTCTCTTTTTTGTAGTGATGACAAACTGACTCTCTCCATAACAGCTAATTATAAGCTGCATATATATATATATATATATATATATATATATATATATATATATATATATATATACTTATTATTGTCTTTATGAGATACCGATATAATAGCCTAAAAATATCTTCGATTTTTTTTTAATGATGTAATCAAATTTAGCAGGATGATTGAGTACGAAAAATTAAAATTCACCTTCATCACAATGAGCTAAGAACAATTGATTATCACACTTTGAAAAAACCCACTAAGAGCATAAAAACTTAGGGACTTCGTTTTAAAACAATTATCCAATAAATGATGCTGGCAACACCAAGTCACCAACAAAAATTGCCAACCCCTATTGCCTGAAAGAAAGCTTCATGGGCTTGGACAATATCCACTTGGCCTTAATATTTAGCCTCAGCCCCCCATCGCTGCGCATGTCGACATACATTTTCTCAAAGACCACCCATATGCGGCAACGTGTGTGACAACCATCCGGCTTGCCCCACCGACAACCAGCTGTTATTAGGTGAACGTTGCCAACCAAATTATAATTTTCTAGTCGTTGTAATTTGCAGAATCAGAGTAAAAGACTACCCTTTTAGACCCCACACGAAGCACAAAACCGACTATAAATTAGAGAAATTATCAAGCTCGAAAATGCAATCAACACACGTTCTTGCTCTTGTCTAAAACCAAACCAGAGTTACAAAGACGCATAGCAATTACATACTCTCTGCTTTTGACAATGGCTCAGGTTAGAATCTCCGAGGCATTGGTGCTCATGCTCGTGATTGCTACATTTGCTGCTGCTGTTTCTGTCCAGGATAGCGAAATGGCTCCTGCACCAGCACCAGGAATGGACGCTGGCGCTGGGTTCTCTTTGCCAGTTTCTGGAGCCATTGTTGGGTTGTCTCTTGTTGTTTCTCTTCTTGGCTTCTTCCAACATTGAGAAATTTGTTGTTTCACTTGCTTCTTCAAGTGATGAGGGTTAATTAATTATATTTGTTTTGAGAGTGAGAGGTTATTTTTATTTTCCATTCATTCTTTGTTGCCATTTATTTACCATAAAGATCAATGAAGGAATTAATATTTTGATTTATTTATTTTTATTAAATTTACTATCAAATTTGTTATTCCCACGTCACTTCTTTTCTAAAAAATCACCAATACTCTCTTATCATTTATATTTGTTACTGTATTTATATTTCAAATACCAAAAATTAATACTTAATTTAAAATATAATAACAAAAAATAAATGGTAAGAATTAACAAATTTGATAACAGATTTAGTATTATGTTTTTATTCATTATAATTATTTGATAACAGATTTAGCATTATGTTTTTATTTATTATAATTTTTTTGATTAGAGTTGTGACAAACTTTGTTTCAGTTTCAATAAATTCATAGCTATATATAAAAACACTGACTTAATATTGAAATATTTAATTTAATTAAATTATCCTTGAAAGTTTATTAATTTAACGACTTGCATATAAATTTATTATTAACTTAATTAATTAAAATAGTAATTTTAATAGCTTTCCTGATATTAAAATTATTTAATTATTACTTTTTAACTCAGTTAACTAAAACAGGAATACTGTTTCCATATAAGCTTAATTATTATCACAAGTAACTTTTTTTTTTTTAGAATAGTAATTTTAATGATTAAATTATGACATATAACATATTTTAACACATTTTCCATTTAAATTTAATTATTACCAATTACTAAAATAAGAAATTTAATGTTCAAATTACTCTCTCTCTCCCTCTCTGTATGTATGTAAAAAATAGTCCTTAATTTAACTTACCTCTAGGTTTTAATTGAAGTCATTAGTTGTATTACCTTTTCTATATGGATTTACCATATGAAGTATAATGAATTGTGTCAAAGTTGTCATTTGTTGACAAAATAAAGTTTGGTAGCTAATAAAGAAATCTCACAACATCAAAATTCTTATATAAATAGGTCTAAAAATGAAAAAGTTACAATATGTTTTTTAACCAATCAATCACTATACTAAGTCTTCTCTCTCTCTCTCTCTCTCTCTCTCTCTTTAAGGAAAGCGATTGAATTTCTTACCGCAACATAATACCAAAAATACTATTTAGATTTCTAATTTTAAATAAATTAGTACAAGTTTTTCAACCATTATTATTTCTAAAAGCTCTCATCACACACATATATACTATTAAATATTGAAAAATATTTCAATTTTATATATATTCTCATAAATAAGACATTAAAGTCCATAATCGGTGGTTAATCGAGTTAAAAGTTAGTGGCCGGACCATTTATTAAAATATTATCAATAAATAATCGATATATGGTATTGTAAAATAAAAAATTTCAAAGTGTAAAAATGATGCGTTGATAATTGATTGATGACGTTATAAAAAAAGATTTGAAATAAAAAATCTGAAAGAATAGGGATTTCAATAAAACAAAGAAAAAAATAGAGGATTTTAATAAAAAAATTGAAAAATAAATACGGGGAAAATCTTTTAAAAAATTACATTACAAGAAGAAGATACCATAATAGTTTGTTATATCTGTAGTGATGGCACATTGACTCTCTGCATAATAACTACACATTGACTTTCTCCATAACAACTAATTATAAGCTGTTATATATTTTTGTCTTTATGAGATACGGATATAATAGCCTAAAAATATCTTCGATTTTTTTTTAATGATGTAATCAAATTTAGCAGGGTGATTGAGGAGGAAAAATTAAAATTCACCTTCATCAGAATGAGCTAAGAATAATTGATTATCACATTTTGAAAAAAACCACTAAAAACATAAAATTTAGGGACTTTATTTTAAAACAATTATCCAACAAATGATGCTGACAACACCAAGTTACCAACAAAAATTGCTAACCCCTATTGCCTGAAAGAAAGCTTCATGGGCTTGGATAAAATCCACTTGGCCTTAATATTTAGCCTCAGCCCCCCATCGCTGCGCAAGTCGACTACATTTTCTCAAAGACCGCCCTTATGCGGCAACGTGCGTGACAACCATCCGGCTGCCCCACCGACCAAAGCTTTAGACCACTTATCAAATCCACACGTCACACAGCCTGTATCACTTTCACGCGCACACGAACACCAGCTGTTATTAGGTGAACGCTGCCAACCAAATTCTAATTTTCTAGTCGTTGTAATTTGCAGAATCAGAGTAAAAGACTACCCTTTTAGGCCCCACACTCCGCACAAAACCGACTATAAATTAGAGAGATTATCAAGCTCGAAAATGCAATCAACACACACTCTTGCTCTTGTCTAAAGCCAAACCAGAGTTACAAAGAAGCATAGCAATTACATACTCTCTGCTTTTGACAATGGCTCAGGTTAGAATCTCCGAGGCGTGGGTGCTCATGCTCGTGATTGCCACATTTGCTGCTGCTGTTTCTGCCCAGGATAGCGAAATGGCTCCTGCACCGGCACCAGGAATGGATGCTGGTTCTGGGTTCTCTTTGCCAGTTTCTGGAGCCATTGTTGGGTTGTCTTTTGTTGTTTCTCTTCTTGGTTTCTTCCAACATTGAGTAATTTGTTGTTTCACTTGCTTCTTCAAGTGATGAGGGTTAATTAATTATACTTGTTCTGAGAGTGAGAGGCTATAGGTTATTTTTATCTTCCATTCATTCTTTGTTACCATTTACTTACCATAAAGATTATTATAATGAAGGAATTACTATTTTGATTTATTTTATTTTTTTATTAAATTCACTATCAAATTTGTTATTCACACGTCACTTCTTTTCTGAAAAATTACTAATACTCCCTCGTCATTAATATTTATTACTGTATTTATATTTCAAATACCTAAAATGTTTAAAATTTAAATATTAGGTATTATTTATTGTAATTTTTTCGCTTAGAGTTGTGACAAACTTTGTTTTAGTTTCAATAAACTCATAAATTTTAGGTATTATTTAGTGTAATTTTTCCGATTAGAGTTGTGAAAAACTTTGTTTCGGTTTCAATAAACTCATAGCTATATATAAAAACACTAACTTAATATCGAAATTTTTAATTAAATTAAAATATCCTTGAAAGTTTATTAATTTAATGACTTGCATATAAATTTATTATTAACTTAATTAATTAAAATAGTAATTTTAATAGCTTTTCTGATATTAAAATTATTCAGTTATTACTTTTTAACTCAAATAACTAAAATAGGAATACTGTTTCCATATAAACTTAATTATTATCACAAGTAACCTTTTTTTTTTTTTTGAGAATAGCAATTTTAATAAGGTAAAATAGCAGTTTTAATACATTTTCCATATTAAAATTATTAAATTATGACATATAACATATTTTAATACATTTTCCATTTAAATTTAATTATTACCAATTACTAAAATAAGAACTGCGCTAAATTTTTGGAATTGGTGTGAAAGTAACTTTTGTCGCGTCTTGTGTCCTGATATCTTATTTGCCACTTTCCCAAAGATAGACTGTGAAGTGCTGCTGCTAATGCTAAAAGTTTTAAGTAATTTGCCTAAAGTCGAATAGTAATTTTTCAAAGCATTAGCGAAACTGATAAATATAAAAAGGGAAGCGAGGTAGATTAGAAGAAGAAGGATAAACTTCGGAAAAGGTGAAAAAACCGTCACCATGGAAATTAACATGCAGTGCATCAATGCATGGAGATATGTTGTCAGCAGACTGGACAAAAAAAAAACCAATCTACTCAAAGATATGTTGGTGGTCCATGCCGAAAATTTTATTTATGTAATAATAACAAATCAATAAATAAATGGAGGTGGTGTCCAAATGTTGATGCGTTAACATTTCATTTATATTGATATAGTAGTCTATTATGCCTATATTTTCATATTTTAAATAATTTAAAAATATAAACGTAAAATAAAAATTAATTAATTCTCATTGTAAAAAATTATATATATATATATATATATATATATATATATATAAAAGTGAATCTAAATATATCTTAGGAATATTTTTTGTTTTGATAAATAAAAAACACATGCAATTAATTATTTATTTAAAAAAAATCAAATTCAAAGGAGGTGTTCAATCAATTTATATTAGAAGCACAATTTTAGTTAATGAATATTTATAAAAATAGAAAAAATAACAATTAATTATGAAAAAAATTTATTTTAATTAAATAATAAATAATGAAAAAAATAACCTAGTCCAGCAAAAAAATTAAAGGGACTTTTTTTTTGTAATATTAATTAAAATTAGGGATAGCTTCGTATAAATTCATAACTTAGAGGATTAAAGTGTAAATATTTAAAAAAATTACCAAAAAATAATTAATTTTTTTGAGAAAACTGTTCGTTTTGAGTTTTATTATAACAGGGGTTCATTATAACAGAGGTTTAACTATACTGAAACCTCATTCTTTTTTGGTATATGGTATAATATATCGACATATTAATTGTCATTTTTCAAACTTGCCAACATAAACATATTCATGAGAAGTCCTGCATCTGAAATGTGACGAAGTTGACCACATCCGTCGTCATTACTCCTTACTCTTTGCATACTTCGAATGTGCCCATAGCCCTGTAGTGTAAAATTCACCTTCATAACAAAACGCTAAAAAATTATTGTCTCACTCCAGAAAAACACACAAATTTATTAGAGATGGTTAAAAAGATTACCTGGTAAATTATGCCGACCAACACAAAATATGACAAGACAACCTAACCCTTTGAACCATGAACTTTGAAGTCACCAATGATGGACGAAACTACCGACATGGTTCTAGCCAAAAAAGACCTCCCATCTGCTACAACGTGTAAGGCAATAGTGTGGCGCCCCCACCGTCCAAAAATTGTTTAGGCCAGTTATCGACCCACGTGTCCAGTCTGTATTGCTTTCAACACACATAAAACAAGCTGTCATTGGAAATTTGGAAGGATTAAATATTCTTTAGTCCCTGTATTTTGAACCTGATTTGACTTAGTTCTTCAACTTCAAATCCTTTAACTTCAATCTTTTGACGCTTTTTAACCACTGATTATTTATTTATTTATCTATGTGGTTTTCTCCTAAATTCTACATGTACATCATATAAAAAATTTCTATTTAAATTCTTATAGAAAAAAAACCCCAACATAACAGGGATTTAGATAGTCAAAAGAATCAAAGGGATGCTATTGACATTCTATTGATTTCTTTGAGTTCTAATATGACAATGTTGTCTCTCCCTTCCATCTAAAATATCAATGTTATTTCTTAAAAATAATTTAATATTTGATGTCAATTGTAGAAGCTTGAATTCTTAAGGATAAAAAAAAAAAAAAAAACATTCAGCACTCTACCACTAGTTCACAAATTGTTTATTCATCTTAAAATTTCGTTTATTTATCTAATCCAAAATCTATAGATTATAACACATTTGTTCAACTTAATGCTCCATTTATTTCTTTATATTCGATACCATATATATATATATATATATCTCGAAATATAATAATTTTTAAATGAAAATTTTGGACTATCATTTTAAATGCTTTAATTATAATTATAATACAATTATCAAGTCCCTTTTTTTCAATCGAAGCATACAAATAAATCGTTCTTAAATTGTTACTATAAAATATTTATATTTATTTTTAATTGGAGTATAAATATAAAATAAATAGTTTAGTTTTCTCAATGCTTCATCTAGATCAGAAAATGAACCCTTGAGAGAAGTAATTTTTTTAATTGTTATTTGAAATACACTTTTCCAATATATAATTTTTTTTTGTTATATTTTTCACTTTATCTTGAGAAAGTATATTTTATTGAATATAAATCAAGCTATTTATTGTAAAATATAATGTGGATATTGGATTAAATAAATAAATGAAGCATTGAGATCAACAAATGGCTCGTAGTCTAATTATGGAATACTTGATGCTATTATTTTTAAAGATTAAGGGTTTGAGTTTCATCATGATCAGGTTCAAAACCTAGGGAGTACTATTAGAACTTAAAAAAATTAGTGGGAGTGCCATTAGTAAAAAGATGAGTGCCAATAGCGGCACCCCGGATGAAACGGGTTTGGAAACATGAAGGACTGTATTATAATTGGGTTCAAAACCTAGGGACTAAATAATCGAATAATCTTATTTCAAGTTTTTTTTTTTTTTTTTTTTTTTTGGGGGGGGGGGGGGGGGGGGGCTACTCTTACATTAGTTAAGAAGTAAATTATAAATTACTCCCTCTTATTTTAAGAAATAATTAATTAGTTCTTCTAGTTTCAAAAATTAATTATTTAATTTTTTTTATTTTTTAATTTATTTTGATTTTTTGTTTTAAGAAATAAAAAAAGAAATAAAAATATGAAAAGATTGATGAGAAAAGAAGATATTTTATAAAATAAAAAATATTAAATTAATTGTGATTAACGTTGGTTAAAAAAATTAAATAATTATTTTTTAAAACTAGAAGGACTAATCAATTTTTTTTTCAAAACAAGAGAGACTAATTTATAATTTACTCTTTAGTTAAGTGAACTTTTTTTTCTTTTTCAGGTTCGTTGCCAAACCCAAATTCTAAAATTTTCTAGCCGTTGTGTAAACTGTAATCAGAAGACACCCTTTTTAGGACCCATTTGCTGCACAAAATCCACTATAAAATCATCCTCCTCTTCTTTACAAGCCCAAAGACACAACTCTTGTCTAAAACCAAAACCAAAGTTTAAAGAAAAAAAAAAAAAACGACAGAAAACAACTAATCTCTCTTGTTTCTCTATTCTCCTTTATTATTAGGAATGGCTGCTCAGGTTACTATCTCCAAGGCTTTCTTGCTTGTTCTTGTAATTGCTGCATTTGCTGTTGTTTCTGCCCAAGATAGTGAATCAATGGGTCCTGCACCTGCACCAACAGGAATGGATTCTGGAGCTGGGTTCTCTTCGCCAGTTTCTGGTGCCATTGTTGGGTTCTCTCTTGTTGTTTGTCTTCTTTGTTTCTTGAGACATTATTGATTAACTTGATGTTTCACTTAATATTTTCATGTTACGAGGAGATTTGGTTGATTAATTATATTTGTTGTGAGAGTGAGAGTGAAAGGTGATGGGAAATTGTTGCATATTGGATTCATTCTTTGTTACTACATATATACAGATTAATGAATTAATTACTCTGATATGTCATCATTGTTAACTTTATTGTTAGAGTTGTGACCCTCTTTAATTCATAATTACCAACTTATTTCATAGGAATTCAGGCATATGGTCTCTCCTTGGCCGCTTGGTCTTAAATTTGGGACTAAACCAAATACATTGAATTGGTTTTATAGATCATAATGAAGTAAATCAATCTACCGATTCATGAAGAGATCAGAAAATAACTTACATTCTACTTTGGAGACGAATATAAGTTTGAAAGTTCAATTAGGGTGACTCGTATATAGTTCTGATCTATATATACTCTTCTTCCAATTAAGGCCTCATTGCCTTTTGATCCTGGACAGATTGAGTACCTTCTCAATTCACCAAATATTCAAGTGGTGGTAATCTTATTTTTAATCACATAAAGAAGGTAAAAGTGTTGTGTTTTTCAGAGTAGCGTCACAATTTTATGATGAAGTTTTTCCACAAAAATATAAGCAATCATTGCTTTTACTTGACCTTTCATAATTTGATATTTGGCAATTTCAAAGCTAAAAGAAAATCAATTCTCCAAGTTTACCAACACCTTTGCACGTTATTGAGGCCTGAGTGGCCGAAGCCAAACTCCTCCTGATGTATAGTTGCCTGTTAATTACCAGATTTGCTTGCTCGTCAGGCTAATTCACCCTACTAAAAACAATAAGGTTAAAAGAGTCTATCTAACCTTAAATTTTAAGTTATTTAAAATTTTGAATTTTTTTTATTGATTTTGAGAATTTTTTATTGGTTTTGGGAATTTCTGAATTTTTAGTTTTTATTTTTTTGAGATTTAGTTCATATAATGATTTTCAGATATCATCTTCTCCTCTAAAAAATTCAATTTTTAATATTTTGAATTGAAATTTGTACATAAGTTAAAAAAAAAAAAATCAATCCATTTTGTAGAAAACATTCAGAATTTTTTAATAAATAAAAAACTATATTTGTTTATTTTCTAAATATAAAAAATAACTTCAAAATGATCTCAAATCTTTTGAGAAGCCTCATAAAAATATCACCGAATAATTTCCATCATAAGACTATTTATGTATTTTTTTTAAAAAAAAAGTGACAGAAAACTGAAGAATGAGATAAATCTAAAAAACGATAAAAGTTCAGATATTTTCAAAATTAATAAAAAAATTTAAACATTCATCGTAAAATGACTTAAAATTAAAAAATATTTAAACTTTAATTTAGCCAAACAACATGCTCTGCCTGCATTTGTGTATGCTTGCCTTTTTGAGGGGAATTTAATATTCTCTTGTATTTTTATTAGAACATTACTTTATTATCGAAAAAATGCAACTAACTACTTTTGCTGTTTTATTGATAATGCAAGAAAGCAATGAGTGATTCTACATATGAAGCAGAAAACATAATTAAGGAATAAATCACAATAAGACATAATAACAAGCTTTGCAATTTTATTAAGTTTTTCAGATAGTTGTTAGTAATATTCATGTATATATATCATTCACTAAAAAATGCTTGTTACAAACAACTTTACTTAAAAAAAGAAAGAAGATGTCTTCCTTAAATAAGTTAATACTAAATAAATATATATGATTATGATTTCAAAAATATGATGATGAATAAGATAATTTAGTTTTAAGTCTACTAAATAATGCATGATAAAACTTTTTTTTTAATCCAGAATTTTAGGGTCGCTTTTACATACCGAAACAATATCTCAAAAGACTTAAATTGGTAAGTTAATTTTTTTCTTACAAAATTATCATATATTTATATCTAAAATGATAACATGACCAATAAACTTATTTATCATTAAAATCAAATCTTTCAAAATAAAGTGTTTATTCAGAAGACTAAACTGGACTACTGAGCCAAATACTAATAATTATCACAGGCACTAAAATTTCAGTTTAAAAAACAAAAAATGCTAACCCACAATAAAGTTGAAAAATTTTTCATTTAGGGTTTCCATCTACCTCACCATAAATTATGGGCTCACTTACGTTCACACATTATCTCACAGATTTCCAACCTGCTGCAACGTGTTGGAAAAAAACGGCGTCTCCACCAACCCAAACTTCGAGACCACTTATCAAACCCACATGTCACAGTCAGGATTGCTTTTTTGGTCACAGGCTGTATAACTTTCACACATAGTACAGACACAGCTAGCTGTTGTTACTGTTAGGTGAACGTTGCCAACCAATTATTATTCTAGAAAAATTGAAATTTCTAGTCGTTGTAAAGTAATTAAAAAAAAAAAAAAATCAAAGAAAGACACCTCTTAGGACCCACCAGCCATAGAAACTCCCTTATAAAAAGGGAAATTAACAAAGCCCCAGGACACAAAACACACAACGCTTGTCCAAAACCAAACTAGAGTCACAAAGAAACCTGTCAATCTCTCTGTTTCTCTTGTTGGTCTCTTTAATCTCTTTTATTAATTAGCAATGGCTGCTCAGGTTACTTTCTCCAAGGCGTTCTTGCTCCTTCTCGTGATTTTTGCATTCGCAGTTGTTTCTGCCCAAGAAAGTGAGATGGCTCCTTCACCAGCACCGATGGATGCTGGAGCTGGGTTCTCTTTGTCAGTTTCTGGTGCCATTGTTGGATTCTCCCTTGTTGTTTCTCTTCTCGGTTTCTTGAAACATTGATTATTTTGTATTTTGTTTTTGACTTGTTTAATTTGTTTCAAGTGATGAGGAGTTTTGGTTGATCTATTGATTTGTTGTGAGAGGGTAATGAGAGGTAAATGATATATTGTATCATTTGATTCGTTCTTTGGTATTTAATTAATTCGTACAGTAATAAAATATTGATTGTTTTGGTTTATTTATCAAATTATACTCTAGTAATACTCTGTAATTTGAGTTTCGAAACTGTTTTAGACCAAAGAATTGGAAATACAAACATATGGTATGGGCCTTTAAAAAAAAAAAGATCATATAAGGGCAAGACTTGGCCTTCAATTCAGAAGTAAAAGGTTTTTCTTTCTTCTTTCTAAGAAAGGGACTCCAAGAAATTTAAAAACTTGGAGCCTCGTTGCTTGACAATAAAGTGATGAAATATGGTAGTTTTTTTTTTTTTTAATATATATATAAAGTTGAAGGATTTAATGAATGGTGTAAATATGAAATGAAAAGAAATGCAGATTGAGAATTGGGCGGCAAAGTCAACCATAGAGATGCAGATGAACAAATCAAATAAATGTAACTTTAAAACTAATTTAATGCAAGAACAATAAACAGAATCTTAAAACATAAATGAAAACTAAAAGATAGATGGGCGGCAGAGCCAACCACTAACAGATAGATAAGTAAGAAATTTTATTTAAAATAAAATAACTTACAAGGGATACGCAGAAGCAAAAATGCTATATGAGGTTTTGATGTTGAGTTACAAGTTTCGAGTCTTGAGAGAATAAAATTACAAAGAGAATTCTATTCTAGAACCCGTCCGAAAACTTGGCTCCCTTACAAATGAGAAAGAGCTTCCTATTTATAGAGAAAGCCGACATAAACAATAACTTGAAATAGTAAAAGTGAACAGTAAAAATGAATGGTAAAAGTGCTACGGTGTCTTCACGTGTTGATGAACAAGTAAGACGCCGAAAGCAGCTTTGTCTTGACCTATCACGTGGGATGGATAGTGACTTTGAGAAATGAGTTTTGTCGGTAGATAGAAAATTGCCTGGAAGGAGCAATTTTTGACTTGGAGTTCATAGGTGGTGAACTTGGGAATATATTCCAAAGCGAGTCATCTTCGTTGTCATTACCCAAATTTATTTCGGTTCGACTCGAATCCGTTTCTCCCGCTCGAGAGGAACTTGACTCGTTTTGTACCATATCGGACATGATGGCAAAGTATTCTTCTTCGCTTTTGGCTTCGCAAGTCCGGCATTAGTAATAGATTTTTATGCAAGGAAACATGTTGACGATGGACTTGGCTTGAGTAGGCTTTGTTTTGTAAGCCATTCTTCAACATCTCGTTTTGGATAGAGACGATGGAACTCGGAATGAATCCCACCATTTTACTTTGAATATGCGGAGTAGGATTAAAGCTTGGTCTTGATATTGTGTTTCATAATACCAAGAACAAACCCAAGGAAGGAAGAATTTTGTGCGGAAAAGGAAAAAAGGTGTGAATCTTTTTCTTTTTACGAAGGTTTGTAGTGTGTTTTGAAAAGTTTAAAACTCTCGAAACATCGAGGGAAAGTATGTTTGGAAGAGGACAAAAATAGTTCCACCAATGTATGAACCACATGGAAGTGTTTGTAGAAGTAAATTTTTTGTCAAAAAAGAAAAGCCATGAATGACTTCCCTTACGATTTTGGAGGAAAATAGTATTAAACCATGCATGCTGATAGTCCCAATAATTGAAGCTACGAAAATGGTTTACACTAGGTTTGTAGTTTGCTGGGAAGACAATTTGGAGTGAAAGGTCTTGTCCCCAGTCGGAAGGATGGATGATTTTGTGGATCCGACAAGTGGAATAGGCGGTTTTCATTTTATGAGGGGTGAGGAAGTGTTGAAAACTTGTCGATTTTGTTCATTCAAGGATGGCCATATAATAGGCTTGGTTTTTGGATAAGTCCTAAGGTTTGAAGTGCCATCTAGGAGGGAAAATTTTTGAATGATTTTGTAAGGTTCTTCAAAGAAGTACCCATGTTCAACAATTAAAATATTTTAAAAATCTTTTTGAAAAAATACTCGGATTCGCATTTTTTAAAAATAGGTTTTGGTGAAACAACAATCTAAGTGTTTTGTGAAGAAATATTTTGTGAAATAATTTTTGAAGAATTATTTATTTTTGAGAAAGGGGTTTTTCGAGGAAGAAGAACCTTTCTCTTGTTTTGAAATAGGTTCAAGATTCATACTCGAGATTTTTGTAAGGCCGAAGGAGCTCGGTCTGTTTTGACAAGTTTTGGACCCGAGTTTCGACGGATCTGGGTTTGGATAGGAGTTTTAGGCTCCTTTTGTGAAGCAGACATCAACCCAAGAGATGATGAGTTTTGTCGATGATATGGGTTTTGGGCTTTCCGATTCGGGAATAAGGGGTTTTTTCCTTTATTTTTCTTGGCCGTCAAGACTGTTTTGTAGAGATTTTCTAGTTAAGAAATATGGAATGTAAGTTTTGTTCTCTTTGGATTTTTGAGAAATGAAAAATTCGAAATGTAAAACCAAGGATATGATTACGAAACTAATGGTTTTGATAAAGCTTTGTAAAATATTTGAATGATGAAAAACTTGTTGAGGGTTTTGAATGCATATGATAATGAAAATGCGGGGTTTTAATCGTTGACTAGCTTATCAAATTACTCATAATTGATAGAAGTCATGGCCGCTAGTTCTCGAAAAAGTGGTAAATCCACATTTTTGATCTCTTTATCAAGGACTTCTTTTAAAAGGTTTGGTTCATATAAAGCATCAACGATAGTGTTGAGTTCTTTTTCCTTTTGATCTTCTAGGAAATCCTTAATAGAATCAATTGCATATTCTTCAAGGGTTTGGGGAGACTATCTAAGGCTCTAGCCATTAAATAATCCTCCGTTTGATCGATATCTAGACCAACTATATCCATGATATCTTACAGGATATCTTCCTCGAGGACAAGGCGGTTGATTGAAATCAATTGCTTCCTCTTGGTCATAATTCTCGTTTTGGTCATAAAAATGTCCCATATGTAACAAATTAATTTGGGAAGATCCTATGAGTTTTGTAGAAGGGATATGTAAAAAATGATGCCGACTAACAATCGAGCATTCAATTCAAAGCTATAAATGGAACATGCTTTGATGATGTTTAGATTCCTAGTTCTAGGTTTTTCTAGAAATGGAAAAACAAGTTTTGTATTTCTATTTTTGAATGATATGCAATCATGCTTCACGGAATATGGAGTAATTAAATTAATGAAAGGTGTTCCTAAGATCACCATATGATGCATATTTCAATCAATAGAAAATGATTTTTGATCCTAATAATTTCATTGACCACGGAGGCTTCGTCTTACCATGTATGATCATTTTGGAATTGTTTGCTACGGAAAGACGTTCATTGGTTTGAACATGGAAACGTTTTGGAACAATGCTTTGTTTAATATAATTCAAATCAAGCACCGAGTATCAAACAAGGCAATCGTATCAATTTTGAAGTTATTTTGAAACATAAGAGTAATTTTAATTAAATACTTCCTAGAAGTAACTTCACGAAGTACAAACAGGAAACCTTCCGGAACGTGTTTCGCATTTTCAAGGTTTGGTAACTCTTAGTTTTCGGGGTTTTCGAGTCGAAGTCGACTCTTCTTCCGCTTGTTTTTCAAGCGAGCTTTTAAGAGACTAGAGTCTCGGTTTGTCTTTCTTTAAGCTCTTTGAGCTTGGTTTTGATGACGTTAATCTCGGATCGAATGTCCTGAATTGTGGTCAAGGGTTTTTTGATTTTCTTATTCCTATTTAAGATAGTAGTAAGTTCATACGTGCTTAGTACTAGTAGAAGGCAATATAGAAGGTTTTGGTTTGTCACGGGGTTTATCTTCATAGACTTCGAGAGTCCGTCTAAGTATTTCTTTTGTAATCGAGAATCCTCAATCTTCTTAATAATATCTAAGATGAGGTCCTACTCTTTGGTTAAGACATTGACTTGTCTCGGGTTTTTATCAAGTTCACTATCATAATTGGGTTTTGAACTAGAAGACGTAACAAGTTCATTTACACGAAAAGTTTTTTCACTATCAAAATAGTCCGAAGGGTCGGAGGTTTCAACTAACAAGGCGAGAGATTTTGTTGTAGATATCGTCTTCTAAGGGAAGTTCTTGTAGTCCGGTATTCATCCTATAATATTTTGAAATATGGCCTTTTTGACCACATTTGTAACGGGTAATTTCCTTTAGGTCGGTGTTGGGCTTAAGCCTAAACTAGGTTTTCCTAAAGGGTTTTTTGGAGGTTTTGTTGGAAGGTTTCTTATAGAAAAGTTCTATATCTTTGGGCTATCCCTTGTGGTAAGGCTTTCTATAAGGCTTCTTATACGGTTTTCTATGGGCCTTAGCATCATAATTGTTTTTATAACTCGATGATTTTGAAGTGAAAATATCGAATTGCTTACGAAACTACCTAATTCCTGTTCGGTCTTCTTCATTTCCCACTTAAGGTGATTTTGGAGTTTGAGGTCTTGACATATCTTTAGTCCTTCCTTTTGGGTAAGACTAATTAATTCTCCATATGTCAATTGGTGATACGGGATTTGATCACCAAAAGCATCCTTAATACGAGTCCTAACCTTTTCTCCTAAAAGGGTTGGTAAACTCGCAAGGAATTTCTCCTTCCGAAAGGTTGGTTAGAGTCTTCTCTAAGCATAACTCCGGTTAGGAATGTGGTTTTGTAATACTGAAAATCATTGAGTTTTTTGCATCTAAGGTTACTAAGAAGCTCGGCATTTTTGTCTTTGAGGTGAGAAGGATCTCCTATGAAATGAAAGGAAATAGTCGAGATGAGTGTTGACACTCGCATCTTGAATTGGTTCTTCTAAGTCATCTAAAATAGGAAGACCTTCTTGGTCTATTTGAATGGAATTTAATATTTTCATATGTTGTTGGGCGGTGAGATAATAGTCCCACCATCCTTTGAGTTGACCAAAAAAATCGACAATGAGCAATTCGGTAA